ATCCTAGCCGACGTTAAATATGCTTTCAACGTCGGTTGTTGAACAACCGACGTTGAAAGTCGAATTTTGGCACATTCAACGTCGTTTAAGCAAGCCTGACGTGGAAAGTAGGCTTTCAACGTCGGTTATGCCCTCACCCGACGTTGAAAACCCTTCTGCATGGGCTTTCAACGTCGGGTGGTGGTATAAACGACGTTGAAACCCACAAAAACTCACACACTTTAGATAGCGGTTATATGGGAACCGCTATCTAAAGTGTTATATCCTCTCCATTATGATCGATCATTTCAAGTGCATGATCGATCAGAACCTTAGGGAACCGCTATCTAAAGTGTTATATCCTCTCCATTATGATCGATCATTTCAAGTTATGATCGATCAGAACCTTATTTCGCTCGAGCGAGAGTAGTGTCGCTCAAGCGAAATACAACCCGAGAATGCTAATTTTGTGCAGGGGGCGTTTCGCTCGAGCGAGAAGAGTGTCGCTCAAGCGAGTTACACTTGAGATAGCGGTTCTAAGGGAACCGCTATTATATCCTCTCAATTATGATCGATCATTGCGAGTTATGATCGATCAGAGGCATATCTCGCTCGAGCGAGGGTAGAATCGCTCAAGCGAAATACAACCCGAGAATGCTAATTTTGTGCAGGGGGCGTTTCGCTCGAGCGAGAAGGGTGTCGCTCAAGCGAGATACATTTTAGATAGCGTTTCAATCGATTAAATCTCGTTTCAATCGATTAAAACAATTTCTGCACAGCGTTTTAATCGATTAAAACTTATTTTTATCAGTTAAAATTAGTTGAAAAGCTTTACGAGAAAGTTTTGCAGTATTTCAATCGATTGAATCACGAAACAATCGATTAAATCAACTTAGAAGATTTTTTGTAAAGTGTTTTAATTGATATAAACGTTGTAGTATCAGTTAAAACAAATCTGTTAAAGAATCAAGAACGTATTAATGGATTAAAAGAAGTTTTAACAGATTAAAACTGCACTTTTAACAGATTAAAAGAATCTTTTAACAGATTAATTAAACCAGACAGTTTTGAAAATCTTCTATAAAAACAGTTTGGCTTGAACTTTGGGGTTCGATGTCGCCAGAGTTGGGGTTCGGCCTCGAGTTCGTCGAGGTAGGCTGGGGTTGAGATTCGAAGTTGCTTGGGTTTTGATTGGGTGTTTTGGTCACTCAGATTTGAGATTCAAGGTCACTGGGTTGGATTTCAAGCTTGAGGTCAGGTGATGCATGCTGGGTTAAAGATCTTCGAAGCTGAATAGAAGGGTGGAGGATTGGGGTTGGAGAGACGAAGGTGATTAAGCTCGAACAATGGTGGATAGTCACTGGTACAAGGTCACAAAGAGGGAGTGAAATTGTGAGCGAGAAGGTGAATTTGGGAGGGCTGTCAGCATGAAGAACACAAAATTTTGGAGGATTATCAGTGCGAAGAAGATGAAAGTACTGGGTTTATTTGTATATATTTACACGGATATATATTTATTTGTATATAAATATAATTTATTTGTAAGTTATTATCAAAAAATTCAAGTAGTTTAGTGGTTGGAGTATCGGCCTCCAACTCTAAAGTACTTGGGTTCGAATCCTGCCAATGACAATTCTCTTAAAAATTAAAAAACTTCTAAAAATATAATATAAAGAGATGGAGGACCTAATAAAAATATAATAGGAAGAGAGGGAGACTTCTAGATAATAAAAGGGGGGGGTAATGGGGTTGTAAATAAATAAAAATTATTAATTTAAAAAATCATACTTTCAACGTCGGTTTTTTAGAACCGACGTTGAAAGTTACGACTTTCAACGTCGCCTGATACAACGTCGGTTATTAAACCGACGTTGAAAGCCTTCCAGAACCGACGTTGAAAGCATATTTTCTAGTAGTGTCGATCCAATTTTCCCCACTAGCTCAAGTCTCATAAGACCAACCCTCTGCACAAGTCAAACAAGAAGACGAAGAATTAGATGATAATGATCACTAATTTATTCGTATTTGTGTACCCTATAGACTATTATGTTATTTATTTTTTATGTTTTGAATAATTTATGTAATGTTATTATTTCATATTGATTATATTATTTTAGCATATTATGTACCCTTCATACTACTTTTTTTTTTTACAAATTTTATATTTTTATTTATAATTACATTCTTTTAAACGTAAAAATATTGGTTTAAGCAACCCTCACTTAAGCCAATAACCATCGCTTAAAGCGATGCACACTTGAATGTCATACAAGTGGCTTCAAGTGAGTTTCAACCGACCAAATTCCGTTGAAGCAACTCTCGCTTAAGCAACTCATGCTTCGCTAGAGCAACTCTCACTTCAACATGAAAATATTGGGTTAAAGCTACTCTCGCTCGGGTGACCACTAGTTTACTTAAGTCACTTCCTCTTTGTTAGAGTGACATTCACTCAAGCAAAGTATAAATGACTTAAGAAAGAGTCACTTAAGTGACAGTTTTACTCGTCACAAACAATTTATGATGCTAGATGTTGTGACAATTTGTGTCCTGTTTCAGAGTTTGTCACTCATGAACACATTTTATCAATAATTTTATTAGTGTATTTTATCTATATTGTACATTTCTTTATATTAATCATTAATTTTTAACATAGTTTTTATAAAAAGGTAATAAATACTTTTGTATCTAATTTATTACATAAATTATATATGTTAACTAAACTCTTTAACTATGCTTTCACTAAATATTTCATCTAGTTGAGTCAACTTCTACTATCTTTTGACATCAAGTCTTTATTTGAAAATTTCAAACTCTTTTTATAGCAGTTCAACTCTCCTATCAGGTATGAATCCTCTCTTTGCAATAAAATTAAAACTTTTTTCATTATGTTAGGATTGAAAACACCCTCTTCTTAGCATTTTCTCATTATCTCTCATGTATTATTTTCATATGATTTTCCTCGCAAAGTAGCCCGAATACATTTACCTGCACAAACTCATTCTTGTATATGAGCAATGATCTTAGTCATTGTCATTTACAAAATAAAATAGACAAATAAATATAACAACAAAATCTTTAAGTGACCACTTGGTCGAAGAAAGTGTTGCTTAAGAAACAAAATACCCAAGCTTAAACAAGCAAAGCATAGAGTGAGGAACCTTCGCTTAAGCCACATTCACTTTAAGCAAATAAGAGACCACTCTTTAGAAAAAAAAAAATAGTACACGCGAAGACATCACCTTCTTAAGCGAAACATTTCACTTATTCCAGACTCACTTTAAACTACTTGTAGACCACGCTTAAGGGAGACTAGCATAAGTGAGTAATTTTGCTTAAGTAGAAAGACTTTATCATTTCCACCAAATTTAAATTTTTGTTGCAAGATAGATAGGTATGAAGAAATACAAACAAAAGATATGTATAAAAAAATTCAAACAAACACATAGGTATGAAGAAATTAACTTGGTAAATAACACTTGAAATGTTTCAAATAATGAATTCATGTCATTCAAATAAAGTGAAACAAAGCAAAATTATAGATAGTGAGGATTCACTTAGTGAATGTTAGACAGTGAACTCATTTCAGAATTTAACAATCCTCTTATAAAAGCACAGAATTCGCTGAGCGAATATGTCAATTTCTTATAATTAACTTAACAACAAATTCGTTAAGCGGGAAAACCTGAACCTACAGTGGCACTTGCACCCGATTAACATAGTTTTTCCCCTTCAAACTCGAGGCAGGGATGGATTGGTACTCGTAGGTGCAGGTGTAGTTATCATCTCTAGTATTTACTCTAATTGGATTGTGATTGATCGAAATTATTATCAGTTTATTCTTGTAATTACAAGATAAATTTTAGAAATCAATGATAATTATATGAACGAAGAATTCATCTTTGTTTCTCACTATATTTCACACAATTCTATATTGTTTTTACTTTTTAATTTCAATTTCAATTTTGTTTTATTATTTTAAGTTTTGTTTACAATGTTTTCTTATTACTTTGCAACATTTAAATACTTTTTAGGATATAGCTTTATAGCAATTCTTTATTAGTAAAATAGGTTTAATGTTTTATCTTTAGAATTTAATATACTTTATAACTTTCTTTTAATGCTTTCTTAGTTTATGTTTATGAAGTTTTCTTTTAATACATTTTAATGCTTTATTTCTTTTTTCATACAAATTCATAAAATCTTCTTCATTCTTAACATTTAACAATTAATAAAATTGAGGATAGAACTTAGACCAATTTTAGTGTTGTATTATTTTTATTGTAAATTTTTTATGACATTTTGGCAAAATTTCGTACATCAATCACAGAACAATTTTTTTGACGAATTTTGATGGTAAAAAATTTTTTTTTTGTAATGTGATCTTGTTCGAGGAATACATATCACAACGATTTAGACACAAAGGAAATGACTTATTCTTAATTGTTACTTGCGATGACACAATAAAAAGCCTAATTTGACGTAGATGCCATGGAATTTGTCCTTTATTCTTGTTCCAATCTCAGATTATAACCCAATTAAGCAAACATTACATAAAATTTCTTGTACATTTTTTCTCTCAATTTTCCCCTCCACCTGTGATTGTTTGTGGACTTGGTTTTTTTAGTTTCTCAGAGAAAATCAGTGGCAAGCAAAAAGCATGCACTCTTTGTTCCACCTATGAATCTCTTTGACCCATTTTGTCTTGTTTTTCTCACCACGCAAATTAACTGATACCATTTCCTCCAAGAGTCAAACCAATACTTTATTAAACATTAATTTGGTGATTCTTTTCAGCATGTGGATAAGAACAACTTAAAATCTTATATAAATAAAATTTCCATACTTTTTATTAATCTCCTAATCTTATTGTCTAAGCAGGTTTGCCTAGATGGAAAGTATTTATTAAACTGCTTTAAGAGATTTGGAATTTCTGTCAATTAACAACATGCAAATCCCATAACGAAGATTTTATAGCACTAATTCTCTTAGGCTTTAAAATCTGTACAAAGTTCATGCATTGCTCAAGTTGCTCCTGGTGGTGACTTGGGCTTATGCTTAGTGTTTGCTCCTGTCCCTGGATAATCATCACTTTCCAAATCAATCCCTCTCTCCACCATCAACTCTTCAGCCACATCAAACACTTCTTCTCCATTTCTCAATTCCTGAACACCCTGAAACCATGGATTCAAAAATTGTATTCAGTTAGACCCCTTTGCTGCATGCAGATATTGGAACATCAGAATTTTGAGATATATCAGAAGACAATATTTGCAGCAGTATTGGTGTTATTTTCAATCTTAATCGCATTTCATTTCGATAATCTGGATAACAACTTAGAATTGATTGAAGAATGGTATGAAATTCGAATACTTGATCAAAGTTTTACACAATGTTGAAAGGACTAGGATTAAATTATTTTCACAAGGGTATAAATTATAGCCTTATCAGATGAAATTTGGGTTGGGAGATTTTCTCTGTGTGACAAAAGCCTTCCTGCAGTCAATAAAATTTCAACCTAGCATTAAAATCAATGAAGAAAACAAGAAAGAGAACTAGATAGGATGGTTCTAAATTAATTATATGAAAAGTTTAATTTTCATTCTTACTGGTTTGTCCAGCAGCAGAAGAGAGAACAAATGAAAAGACCAGAAGAATGGTGAGCAGTTGCAGGGGAGATTTGGTTCTCATGGTGAAGAAAAACAAGATGGATCTGAAAGGTGCCAAAGAAGAGACAGAGAGTTTATATAGAGGAGAGAATAATTGATTTGAATATTTGATGACAACCCAAGTACCAGTGCTTGCTCCAAAGTCAACCTAAACTTTAACAATTTCATTAATTATTGCTCATGCAAATGCATTTCAAAAAGAAATACTGTGGATGCCTTTCAACTTCTCTCAACATATATGGCACACAGTTAATCTGTCTTCTCCCTCACATAAACCCCTCGTCAATTAATAGCATTAATAATATATTTTAAAAAAATTACATAAAATAAAACTCATTTATTGTTTATATAAAAAAAACCAAAACTAAGATTTTTTTAACACAGAAAAAAATGATTTTTTCTTTTACTTATTATTTTTCTTCAGTTAGTCTTTTTTTATTATCTAAAATAGATTAAAAAATAGAATATATTAATTTAAAAACATTAAAAGAGAAAAGTGTAGACAAAAAGAAAAAAAGTACAATCATATAAATAATAATTTAATCTAATTAAGTATAGAACTATTTATTTAAATAATTTTTTTAAAATATATTATTTATATATAAAATTTTGTTTCTAATCTATTTTAGTTTTCAATCTCAACTAAACGAATACCTTTAAGAATTAAAAATAAATAAATAACTATTATTATTTAATATTTTTAAAACTTTACCACCAGTTCTTATTTATTAAAAACAATATATTTTTTAAAATAATAAATGCTAACTACTTTTATTTAATGTATGATCTTTATTTAAAAATATCTTTTATTTATATACAATAAAATATTCTTTTTAATCATTCAAAATATAATTATTTTATTAAGATAAAAATTAATATATGACAAATAGGAATAATAAAATTTTAAAAAATGATATAATAAAATCTAATAAAGATAAACTAGAGGAAAAAATAAATTTGTATTTGTTAAATTGGTTGAAGAGATTAGAAAAATCTAATTGATTGAAGAGATTAAGAAAATATGAGGGAGTAAAAGGTGGAAGAGAATGAATAGTGTAATGAATTGATTGGTTAAAAATACTGAAGGAGACAAAAAGAATGAAAAGTAATAGAAACAATATTTGATGACAAGATAAATAATTTAGAGTTTAGATTTAAATAGAAAGTCAATAGGGACCAGAACGAAGATTGCATTACTCGTCCCTGACTATTGAAAGCGAAAAAAACCTGAATCTACACACGCACCCGGTCAACATGATTTTTCTCATTCAAACTTGAGGGGACGGATCGGTCCTGCAGTTGCAGGTGTAATTGTCATTCAAAGTATTTATTTCAATTGGATTGTGATTGATTGAAATCATTGTGAGTTTATTCTTTTAATTACAAGACAACTTGTAGAAATCAATGATAATTATATAAATAAATTCATGATTAGAGAATCAATATTTGTTTGCCACTATTTTCCACACAATTTTCTATTGTTTCACTTTTCAATTTCATTTCAATTTTGTTTCATTAGTTCAATTTTTTGTCTACAATGTTTTATTACTACTTTGCAATATTTAAATACATTTTGCAATGCAGCTTTATAGCAATTTTTTACTATATTTCATTTATAACTTCGTAAAATAGGTTTAATATTTTTTGTTTATAATTCAATACACTTTCTAGCTTTCTTTTAATGCTTTCTTAGTTTAGGTTTATGAAGTTTTCCTTAATTGCTTTCTTATTTTAGTTTACTATTTTAGATAGTTATACTTTATGCATTTTACCTTTCTTGCATCCAAATTCATAAAATCTTCTTCATTTATAACATTTGACAATTGAAAATCAAGATTTTAAACAAAATTAACCAATTTTCTTGGAGGATACAACCTAAATCAACCTTAGCACTACGTTTCTTTTATTACAAACTTTTTAAGGACATTTTGACAAAATTTCTTTCACCGATCACAAAACAATTTTTTAGACAAATTTTGATAGGAAAAAAAATTGTAATGTGATCTTGTTCGAGTAATTCATATCACAACGATTCCAACCCAAAGGAAATTACTCATCCCACATTATTACTTGACATAATAAAAAGTCTAATTTGAAATAATAATGTTTCTAGTGTAAATAATGTGTTGTTTGATATAATTAAGAAGTTTACGCGATGAATCACTTAAACACTATGTGAGTTTTTAAATTTATTCAAAATTTAGTACATAGTAGATTTCAATCAATGATTGTTCGTATTCAATTTTTATATTTAATATAATCTGAAACATTTAGAGCAAATTACAAGAATAATAAAGAACTATAAAAGTAAATTGCCAAAAAAAATGTGCATGAAAAGTAAATGATAGAAAAATAAATTTAACTCATTACTATGAATAAAACATAAATTGATAGAGAAAATCAACTAAAGTAGTGATCCAAATTGTAAAAAACTCCATTGAAAATGTTTGTTCCCAATTTATGACGTTTTTCAAAATGTAAGTTTCTTCATACAATTTGACAATCACTTTGGTTATATTTATTTTGTCCTACATATATTGTTTAATGTAATCGCCAAGGTACCATAAAGATAAAAATAAAAATAAACAATGGAAGTATAAAATAAAACTATAAATTAGATTCTTCAAACGATTATTTCCTTGTAACTGTTTCTCTTCACTCCACTTTGTTGATACGAGTTACTTGTAACTGCACATACCAAGGAACTATATTATAACTGTCTCCATAAGTCTCTCGATACACCACTTGAAGATCCTCCAATATAACTTCATCTCAATATTTTGTTTCTTCGATACACTGTATCTTTGTGCTTCAATGTTCTTCACTTTTTAATTCCTTGAATTTTGTTTTGTTGATGGTCTGACTTCTTTGATACCTCATACTAATTACTCTTCTACCTCCATAATATAATTTTCTTAATTACTACATTTATTCCTTCTAACTGTCAGATATCTCTTTTCTCGATTCATTTTTTCGATCTATTTGTAAATTTTAGACTTAACAAAATGCTCCCTAAGAGAATATTATATGAATCTTCGATAAATATATGTATTCTCTTATCTTTGATACCAACATCATCTATTTTGTCCTTATTTTATTCAAAAGTTGTTTCATCACATGTTCTCATCATTACTTTTTATTCCCCTCATAAATGTAAAATTTCTGTGGTAAATGTTATTGTTTGTATCATCACTCTTTCGTCCGTCATTGGTCTAAATTTATTGAAAATATTCGATTTATTGGATATGGGCCTACACCAAGCCCATCACATTGCTAGGTTTCCCAGGAAAAGTCTTTTCTTTCAAAAATAAAAACTATTCATCTTCCTCATCCTCACATACTTTCCCTAATTTACAAACTGTTCCTCAAAAATCCTCTCCATTACTTCATTATCATATCATCTATATTGTACTTAGATCTCGACTTATATTTTCCCTTCCAATGGCTTCATCATCCACCACTTCCCAAACTTCCACTATCTAACCTCTTAATACTAGATTTGTCAAACTAAATGGAAAAACCTTCGCACTAGTCATCGAATTACTCGAGAAAATCCAATGAATTTGCTCTACCCAAGTATTAATTCCATATTCAGTAAGAGGTATTCCATTAGCCTTTGGAGGACCATTGATACTCGATCCTGAAGAACCCGCTAACTTTCCCTCTACCGAAGAAGGAAAATGCATTCTCCAAGAACCTAAAGAAAAATTCAGGGTAGACTTCCTCTCCCAAATGTCCAAATTGTATTGTTCTGGTCCACCCCAGAAAAAACCAACTTACATCAAATGGCTCGATAAAATTGAGCCTTCATTCAACCAATATTAGAGAAACATAGGTATATATGACCTTCTCTATCTCTCCAAACTTGACATAGGTTATCTCGATATGTCAATGTTTTTATCTACTACCCACTTGTGGAACAAGGACCTCAATGCATTGGAGTTTCCTTATGGGTCGGTCTCCCCCACTCTTTTAGACATAGCAGCAATCACAGGTCTTAAACCTGTTGAAAAAAAAATACCATATACATGTCTTCCCTGCTGATAAAAGAATCGAATCCAAAATTTGATGGAACAAGAAAACATATGGTCATTTTCTGTAAGAGCACTTTGTCGATGATCCATCGATTAAAGTTTCTAAAGAAGAACACAACATTTTTAGTGTATTGGTTATGCACCCACATTTTCTGCCCCCATTTCATCTAAATATCTTCACACTATTATAACTTGACATTCTTGTTTCATCGAGGAAATCCTAACATATGTTTGGTCACGTTATGTGTGCGTTGCCTTTGGTGAAACAGTCGATACCTTCCGCTCTAACCGTCCGGGTGGCAACTTATCAGGCCCATTATGGTTCATTCAACTATGGTTAACTGCCATTTTTGAATCATGTCTTCCTCCACCCACAGTTATTGGTATTTTTGTTCCTTCTTACTCGTCAGAAGGTGTTCGATTAGCCATTAGACACCCTCGTCATTACAAGCTAGATATTGTTACATATAAAAGCTACCTTAAATTTCTCTTGGCTCAAACAGAATTCTCCATCATCCTCGTGCCATTTTCTAAAATTGGCGAATCACCCAAGGATATCAAAGGCTAAAGCTGGCTCAAATCAAAGCCACCAGTAAACACTCCAGGACTACAAGCTGAACTCATTGAAGTTTGGAGTAGATTTCTATCATGGGACATACTCATATCCAGTCTTCAATCGGAAGATGTTCAACTTTTCCCATATGTCCTTTAACACTTTTCACGTCAGTTTGGTTTGAGTCAAGCCTTTGCTACTCCTCGATTTCATAAACTTATTCCCCGAGATGTTACCTAATGAATCATCTCTTCGAGAGACTCTCTTCCAACTAACACCTAAAGACTTATCGAATATAACCCCTTCCCTTTTGAGTCAAATTTTTTAAACACTTTCAAGTTCTACATATGGTGGGATCAATGGTTTTCCTTGAGGCATTTTCCTCTGGCTATTATTACATCTCAATTGGAATCTCATCCTGAATTCCCCACTTAC